TATGAAAAATATTGTTTAACACCCGTTAGATTTCGAAAATGATCTCGAAAAACTAATTACTGATTTTTGGAAAGTCTGGAATTTCTTTAAAATCAAAGTGGGGTGTTACAGAGCCCAAATTTGGAATATACAATAAATTTTCTTTTATATTTTATATTTATATATATGATATATATATATATATATTTATATTATCACACAATTTTCTAAATTTGTTGTCGTTTACTTTATCATTCTAATTTATTAACTATTTCTCTAGAATTAAATTACAAATTTTAAATTTTATTAACCAATATTTATTCAAAGATCTTTTTAAATTTCAAAAGAAATACATATCAATTTGCCGAATTATTATCAATGTCTTACGGCAAGTTATTAGGGGAATAAAATAAAAACTGAGAGTCATGTCATCTTGATTTTATAACAAATCAACCTAAACTTCAATTTTCATACCCATACCCAATAAAATTCATAACACTTATTTTGTTTTAAAAAATTTTCAAATACACTTCTATCAATATGAAATAAAATTCATACCATTTAATTTTAAATATTTCATACCAACGGTAATAATAACATTGGACTATCCATTGACATTGTTATTGGAATTATATAGGAATATATTTTTGCTGTAATTTCATCATTTCTTGTATTGTCGTTATTTTTGAATCAATATTGATTGTTATAAGTTTAAGTTTTATTATACAATTACAATAATTATTTATTTACTATTTTATATGTATAATATGGATGTCATATATTATATATAAAAAAATGATTAATACAGTACATTATATAAAAACAACAAAAAAATATTAAACTATTAAGTCTTATAAAAAAACAAAACAATATTGGTATTTAATATGAAAAAGAAAAAGAAATAAGAACAAAATTGATTTCGAATAAAAAAAAAACAAAATGTGGTAAAGACCGTAGCCTTATGTTTGCATTTTTACTTCAAATCCACTTGAGTCTTGAGCAAATAAATATTGCTCATCACGTGCCACTAAATAACATACAAAAATAAATGAGGTATAGGCCATAACCTAATGTTTGAATTTTTACTTCAAATCCACTTTTCCAAATAAGTAAATAGCGGTGGATGTATTCAAACAATTGACAAATTATATTTATCACACCACTCAATCTAAAATCAGGACGGGACAACGATATGGAATTAAACAATAATGCTAAAGAGCCAACAGTTGCCTCTGTTACGGAGCCAACAACCAATGAGACAACTCCAGGTGGGGCTGTCCCGCAATAATTTAATGTAGAACAGCCCCACATAAAGTTGTCCAATTGGTTGTTGGCTTCATAACGGAACCAACTGTTGGCTCTTTAGCATTACTGTGGAATTAAAACCCCACAAATACTACTAAAAAACAGAAGTATCAAAAACAAAATTTCCAAGAAAATCGAAAGCTATGTATGGAAATGCAAATCTTAATTATGATTTATTTCCACTTATTCATTACAAACTAGTACGCAACCCGTGCGATGCACGATGTAATAATTAGAAATTGCATATCTTAAAAAAATGAATAAATATTATTTAGTATAAAAACAGTTTTGAATATTGATATTTTTTTCTTCTATTTTATGATATATAATAATTTAATATATGAGTTATATGTTTATTTCACTTGTTATAAAATAGTTGATATTTTAGAGTTTTTGTTTATAATTAAGGATACTGAAATTGAAAAATGATATTAACTACATAATAAATGTACATAGAGGTGTACATAACACTCACATGCAGTGGGGTCCACTTGATTTTTTAATTTTGGTAGGTCTCACTAAATGTGAGTGTTATGTACACCTATGCACAATATTGTGTACCTATAGCATTACTCACTGACATTTAGCATATTAAAATATTGTCAACAAATATAACTGCATGACCTCATTGGCATTGCTTACCCGAAATATAATTGTTTGAGGGTCCTAGGATTTTGCCTCCTTTCTTTGTACGCAAAAAAAAAAAAAAAAGATATTGTCACAAATAATACGAACATAATATTTCTCTTTATACCTTCTTTTACCCATACCTTATTACATATATTATTTTGATTTCTAAATAAGATATGCTCAAATTGAAAAATTGTGGCAAATATTATCAGCAACGCTTAATATCAAAAGGTTGTAATATATATTTTGAAGTTAAGAAAATACTAATATTTAATTACTTCATTATTATTTATTTTTTTCCTTATAATTTATAATAACGTATAATTAAATATTTTAAATTTTCTTTCTAATATATTATTTTATATGAATTTTGTTACGATATTGTGAAGCGCAATATGATTTTTTACAAAACTGGTTTGATGTAGTTACTTATAAAATCAAAGGTTAAATTTTGAACACCTTGAATAAATGAGTTTTGGTATATGGATCGTTACAAAATGAACAAAAAATCGAAAGGATTTGTTATCAATTTTAAGATATCATTTCTATTGTTGTATTGTGGGGGTTATATCAATACTTTTTGCAGTTGATTACTTAATTTATTCCGTACTTATACTTCGCACTATTATCACGCATATTTCAGTTTACATATGATTGGATGTCAAACAAAATAGAAGAACACATGAGTTGTTATTAAGGATAAAGATTAGTTTGTTATTAGTGATAGATAGTTAAATTCCTTTTGATGGTGGAAATTTGCGGTTACAATTTTTAAAAAAACTGAATTTGTTGGGTTATTGATAAATCAATTAATACTAAATTAATTCTCTTGATTAAATGATTTTTCGAAGATACGATAAAAAAATATTTTTGTATATGGGTAGTTACCAAATGAATAAGAAATCACTGTGAATTGCTATTAATGTTAATAAATAGGATTCTATTGTGATATTTTGGTAAGTATCATAGTTAAATTTTCATAATGATTTTCAACTTTTATATTGTAATTATATTTCTGATTTTAACATGTATATTCAGATTATATTTTCTAATAACAAAACCTATTAGTTTAATACACTTTCTTGAGGACATGTTATATGATTAGTTACCAAAAGAATAAGAAATTATAGTGATTCGTAATTAATATGAAGAACCAAATTATTATAGCGATAATTAGCACAAATCATTTTCAAAATTGATGCCATTTTATTTATATAAAAGGTCGTGTTATTAGTCAAACTGCACAATTTATAACACGTAGGTAAAATTTGATTTTAATTTTTAATAAATATTAAAATAAGTTTTACTATATTTTTTTCTAATATTAAGTCGACATACTTAATTACAAAGTCAAAGTTATTAGTTCAAATTATTCCATCAACCTCTTTCAATATATATAGATTTATATTATAAAATTAACCAAACCTCTTTCAATATATATAGATTTATATTATAAAATTAACCAAACCAAAGAAAAAATTTAACGAAAACCATTTTTTTTATATCATGCATCCCCACAAATAGCTCACATAACACAAACCAGCATTTACACTTTACGTTATATGAAAATACAAAAAGTAAAAACCAAAACGCATATAGCATATTAGAACAAAATAAAGACTATATACTGTAAATGTATTATGATATTTCAAAACAAAATTTAAAGCTAATACTCATAAAAAATCAATCTCGTTTGTAATAACAGTCATGCTATTTCGATATTAAATTCTCTATTAACAGTCATGCACATAAAGTTTGCTACATTAAAAATCATCCAACAAACAACACTAAAAAGGAAAAAAAAAGGACTTTAACATAAAAAAAAAACCCCGGAGAGCAATATAAAGCCTGGACAATAAGAATACAACATGACAACACTCATTAAAAACACTCAAAGCAAAAATAGAGGTTGAAATTGTCGTTTCAATCAGAAAAAAGATACTAACATTCAGCTAAATAACTTAACAAAACACTAATCATGTCGAGGCTTTTAGTTTAATTGTGAATCATTCTTACACCTGAGTAGTGCCCTCAATAAATTTAGGGTCCTCACATCTGTACTTTCCATCAGGCCTGAGTCCGAATCCCCTTGGGTTGGAAAATACATTCTCCAACAGCTGATTTCGGGCTGAAACCGGAATTTTATCGGCAAACTCGACAGAATCTTCAACAATTTCTTGAATCTTCTTCTCGATGACCATTAAATATGCTTTGCTTGCCAATTTATTTTTCGTAATGTATTTCTTTCATGCAGTGATTGGATCTCTTGTGGCGTAATGAGCCTTCTCAGCTTCAAAAGTAAAAAATGCAATTATAATATGGACTTCCCGATTTTTACATGAGCAACGTACAAAAGCTAAATCATTATTTTTAGTCTAATAACAGAAACATTGTAACTTTCTTTATGAAACTAATTGGTTTCCCCTTAGGTGCTACTACAAAGCATTGTACTTCACATTTCTCCATAGATGCATTTTGGTAAATACAAACAAATGGCACATGGGCATTTATATTTTTGCTACAAAGTATCAGAACACACTCTTACACATCCACTGACTGCGAGTTTCCAATCGTGAAGCTCAACTGCCAGCCCATCACGTGCACCCGGCCCTCAAACCCACACGCAAAATAGCCAACGCAGCTTGCGAAGGCCCTCGAGTCGCCTTTTTCGTGCCGAAACTCTTAAACAGTCAATTTAAGCCTAAACCCATCCTTATGTACATGTTGTACGATAATATCTACATTATTTTTCCCAACCACATAAACACGCACAAAGCGCAGTCGAAATGCATAAAAATTAAAGCATACGAAGAGAAATGACGAATTTTTACCTAGGATGCAATGATATATCCAAATATCAATTCATAAGAGAAGCAGAAACAGATGAAGAAGGGCCCGCCTCCAGGATGAAGCTCCGACTGAAATGTGTCACGAATCTGGCCACCGCCGCGTGTTCCATCACCGGTCTCTGTGGGGCCAACATCTTTATCACGAAACCCTGACCTTAGTCCTCTCCAGAAACTCCTCCATAGTCAATTTGCAGATAAAAAACATAGAATTAGTTCTCAACCTAATAAAAAATAGATAAAAGAATCAAAATCCAATAATTAAACCAACCAATTGGCAATTGCAATTTTCACATCAAAATAAAAATAATAATTTTACCCTGACGAACCGACCGCACTTCATCATTTTCTGGAAGTTGCCGAAGTTGACCCTCCCATCGCCACCTAAGTCGACCCTGACGATCATACTCCGGTAACCTAAACGCCGCCCGCACGTCCTCTTCACCGTCATCCCCCTCATCGCCTCCGTCCACTGCCATCACCACCGCATACAGGGCACCGAATTCCTCGGCGTCCAACTGGGCATCCTCGTCGGTGTCAATTTTCTCGACCATCGGCCGTAGCTTCTCCTCAGGCACGCGATCCAGAGATTCTCTAGCGAATCGCTGAGCTCCTCCTGATGCTTTCGTCGCCGTTCATCGAGCATGGAAAAGACCAGATGAGCTCCGCCGTGCCCATCTTCTCTTGTGGAACCTAATTGGAGAATTGGTTTGGATTCGATTTTAATCGGTCCATCTAAAGTTTTTCACTGAATAATTTTGGGAGAGATGTGAGAATTATTTTGGGAGAGATTGGGAGAATTTGTTTGGATTTCATTTTGATCGGTCTGTTTAATTTTGGAAGAGATGCCAAGAATTATTTTGGAAGAGTGGGGAGGATTTGTTTGGATTTCATTTTGATATGTCCTTTTAAGTTCCCCTCAATAATTTCATAATAAATTTTCGATAATCTGACATGTACCAAAATAAATTTGCTTTCTTTAAATATTAGAATTTGAATTTTTGAATGAGGAGCGGGATTTCTGATTTTTTTTTTCAAAAAATTACTTAATTTAGTAAATCTAAAATTTTAGGCGGGATTTCTACTTCTATTTCAGGTAAATACCAAACCTTTTTATATGTATATAGATATCATTAGGAAAAGATAAATGTATCCAAAAAAATATTTGTGTTATTGCTTTCCTTGGTTTGATTTAATTTATTTTTAAAAAATTTCAACACACATTTAGGCGGGATATTTTGATTTTTTTCAAAAAAAAAAAATTACTTATTTTAGCAATTCTGAAATTTTAGGCGGGATTTTAGTTCTATTTTAAGTAAATGTCAAACCTTTTTATATACTAGTAAAGTGCACGTGCGATGCACGTGGTGTCGAATGATATTCGCGGAGTACGTTTACAAAATAAATTAATAAATTTATCAAACATATTATTGCAGAAATGAAGTAAACTATAGAAAAAATGAACTCATATGTGATTTTTTTATTTAGAATTATCGTAATAATGTCCTCATATAAAAAGAGTGAAATAACGTTTTA